CACTAACTAAAGCTCTCAGTGGCTCAGGCTGTCCTCTAAGGGTAGAGAGTTAGAGCATCATGCAGTTCTCTGAGACAGCATTACAGCTCATTTGCTGATGGGTCTGGTTAGGGGGATTTGACTCACCAGGCCAGTAGTAGAGAGGGTTTCCTTCCCAGTCCCCACACTTAGGAAATCACAGGTTCAGTACCCCTCAAAAAAGTACGTATCATAAAATATGTTGCATTGAGGTGACCTGGGTTTGAATCTCATTCCCTTGCTAGACTGTAAACTCCTCGAAGACAGGAGACTGTGTCTTAACTAAACTTTCTTAGGATCATAAGCTTTAGAAATGAAAGTGACCTTTGAGATCATCTGCTTCAATCCCATAATTTTACAGATAAGGAAAGAAATGAAGGAAGTGTTTTGGCTAAGATCACGAAGGTAGCACGGGAGCACGGTCAGGATTTGAAGCCCTTATCACCCCCAGGACCCAGGACAGTAGTCAGCCTCTATTAAATGTTTATTGAATTAATGAACTGTGCCATAAATGCCCTTCAGGATTGCCCTACCTATGATATGTAGGAGTTGTTGTCTTACTCAAATATGTATTAGACCAGGTACCCTCTGTGATTCCTTCCAGCTCTGAGATTTTAGCATTCTATAAATATGCTTTAACCAGTTCTGGATCCCCAAGTGAAGAGGCATTCCCTTACCGGTCACTTCCACAAGCCTCTGCCTCCTTCCCTGAATCATACCTAGGGGAGGACAAGTAGGGCTTTGGACTAGAGCATCAAAAGTTAAGTAGTTCAAAAACTTAAACTTGCTCACCTTAAATAGTTGGAAGTCACTATAGAAACCAATTACACACACACGCACTCCTCAATTTGTCTTAATTACTTCTTGTACTATTTTCCCTTCCTGAATTACAACATTGACCAGATAGCACAATTCTTGCCATGTGCCCCAGCTAGGGTTTGCTTGTCCTTGGTGCCAAAATCACTATTGAAGACTATCCCCTTTCCAAAGCATTGCTCAGGCTGCTTCCCAGAACAAAGTCCCTTCTCACAGAATCATGGAATCTCAGCATTGGACCTTAAAGATTTCCAGCCACTTCTGCGGGCAACCCAATCCACTGGGGGCAGCTCCAGCTGTTAGAAATCTAGCCCTTCCTTATACAGAGCTGAAAGATGTTTCATCATACCTTCTAGACATCGTTCCTAGTTCTGCCTGCTGGGACCAAGCACAAGAAGTCACAGAATCATTGAACAATAGACTGGTAAGGACCTTAGGGTCCATCAAGGCCAATCTCATTGTTTGACAGAGGAGGGAAACTGAGGCTGAGAAAAATAAAGTTATTATCCAAGGTCATAAGGAAGGACCAGAGTTAGGACTTGAATCCAGATCTTTTTACTCCAAGTCCAGGGCTCTTTCTAATCACCCTTCTACATGACACCCTCCCCATGTATAGAAGTCACCCTCCATCTAATCCCCTAGGGCCATAGCCATGACCCCAGCACTCCGTCTGCCTTAAGGGATGGGAGGTAGTTGCCCAAAGCCTTTGGGCTAAGTCCTGGGCTGCTGACAGTTCTGTGAGCTGTGAGAATGGGGTGTATGAGCAGAGCAAGGACCAAGCTGCTAAATGTCATGTACATACATGGGCATCAGGACCGGTATCTAGCGTCAGACTTTTGTACCCAGGGCAATCATAAAGTAACAAGATGATGATGATATGTTCATCGTCATTGTCACTGCCGGCATCCAGAGTTTTTACATCCCTTTCGTTTCCAAATATCTCCCTCCCCCAATCTCCTTTGTGGGGAGTCATCCCCTGTAACAAATAATAAAAAATAAAGCAGGGACAAAAAGCAGTTCAGTCAAACCAATCGACACATCCTCAGCCAAGTCTGACAGTAGAGGCAATGTGCCATACCCATGATGTCTCTCCTTTGTAAAGAAGGGAGGGAGACTGACTTTCTCATCTCTTGTTTGGGACCAAACTTGGTCGTTACACTAACACAGTGTTCCATTTATAAGACTGATGCTTAAACAAACATACTGGGTGTTCTCACTGATGTGGGCGCTACCTAGAGAGTGTGCCGGAGCCAGCTCAAAGCAGCCGCTCTCCAGAGCCAATCGTTAAATTTTCAGAGTGAGCATTTACACCTTGGAAATCAACAAACACAAAACAGCAAACACAGGGCAGGGTTTATTGATTGTTTAGACTTAAGAAAGTGATAGAGAAAATGTTAATAATGCCAGTGTACCCTGTGAATTCTGTTTTGTTTTGTTTTTTTTTTTTTTTTTTTTGTCCGGAAAGTTGATTGGTTAACATTTACCAGCACACATCTGATGCTATCCCCTAGTGAGACCGATACTAAACTGTCCATAGACTTTTATCCTGAGCTCCTCTGGTCCATGGCCTCTTATAAATTCTCCATAGGAGGCCCACCCAACATGCTGGGAGAGTTCTCTAGTTCTATTGATATTTCAGGTACCAGCAAGGCACATGAGCTGTCCATTTTTACTCCTCACTCTCATCAGCAGTAATTGGCACTCCCATTTCTTTTTTTTTTTTTTTTTTAGGCAATTGGGGTTAAGTGACTTGTTCAGGGTCACACAGCTAGCAAGTGTCAAGTGCTTGGTCTGAGGCCGAATTTGAACTCAGGTCCTCCTGACTTCAGGGCCAGTGCTCTATCCGCCGTGCCACCTAGCTGCCCCTGGCACTCCCATTTCACCAACACTCAAGGGGGATCTAGGTGGATAGAGCCCTAGGCCTAGAGTCAAGGATACCTGAGTTCAAATCCAGCCTCAGACACTTACTAGCTTTATGACCCTGGGCAAGTCACTTAAACCTGGTTGCCTCAGTTTCCTCATCTGTAAAATAAGCTGGAGAAAGAAATGACAAACCACTCCAGTATCCATGCCACAAAAACCCTAAATGGGGTCACAAAGAGTCAGACACAACTAAAAAATGACTGCACAACAAAGAAGAAGTTCACAAAGCACCCTCCTTGCCCAGTGAGGTAGGCAGTCCTAGATTAAAGTGTATTTGGGGAATATTTCACAAAATCAGTAGAACATAGATAATGTTAATATGAAGTTTTTTAAGCCAATACAAAGTCGACAGGGGTTCTTACATGTAGTTCCTATTTGAATTGGCCACCAGTGACTTAGAGGTATAGAAGCTGTCTCCATCCCCTTCCAGCTCTATTACCAGCTACGAAATGACTTCTGTTCAGTTCCAAATAGCAAATCTGCCCTCAGAGATACCCATCAAAGAAGACTGGCTGTGTGGTCTAGGGGAAATCACTTAACCTCCCAGCAAAGCATTTTTTAAGCAGCTACCTTGTGCCAGACCCCATGGGAGGTGATGGGCATCCAAAGACAAGCAACTCCTTGAGACTCTAAATTACTTAGAAGGGGTCAACTTGCATAGCTGGAGGGAATCTCCTTACCTGGAAGTTAATTCCAGGCTCAGTCCCTCTTCCTGTCCTACTATTGTTATTATGTTATCATATGATATGGTCTCAGAAGGCAGTTCCTAAAGAGAGGCTTTCAAAATGTTTTGAGTAATGAAAGAAGAAAATATGCAACTGAATTTAAAGGGTGTGTGTGTGTGTGTGTGTGTGTGTGTGTGTGTGTGTGTGTGTGTGTGTGTGTGTGTGTGTGTTTAAAAAAAAAAGTCTCAGGGCAGCTAGGTGGCACAGTGGATAGAGCACTGGCCCTGAAGTCAGGAGGACCTGAGTTCAAATCTGGCCTCAGACCAAACACTTGACACTTACTAGCTGTGTGACCCTGAACAAGTCACTTAACCCCAACTGCCTAAGCAAAAAAAAAAAATAAGAAAAAGAGAGAGTCTCCTTCATGTTGTTCAGTCATTTTTTAGTCGTGTCTGATTCTTTGCAACCCCATTTGGGGTTTTCTCAGCAAAGACACTGGAGTGGTTTGCCATTTCCTTCTCCAGTTCATTTTACAGATGAGGAAACTGAGGCAAACAAGGTTAAGTGACTTGGCCAGGGACACACAGCCCAGGAAGTGTCTGAGGACACATTTGAACTCAGGAAGAGGAGTCTTGCTAACTCCAGACCCCGTGCTGTAGGCACTATGGCGCCTTCTAGCTGCCCTGCAGCCCTACTTCATGCCCAGATCTCATTTTTGAAGGCTCTTTGGTGTGGGAGAAAGACCACTGGAAGTCAGAGATTCCAATCCTAGCTCGCTTTAATCCCTCTTTGCCCAAACTGATGTTCTCAAGCACTGTCAGCTCTGATGTGCTGTGACCTGTCTTCTAATTTCCTTCTCCCTCTGAAAATCTAGGTTCTAAGGAACTTCCCAGAATTGATGTTTTATGTTCCATGATCTAGAACCATCCCATCTTTTTCATTCCATATTCTCAAAGGTCCCCCAGTGCTCTGAGACTCAATGCTCTATGTTCTACAGTCCCTCTCACCTGTAAAATTCCATGTTCTAAAGGCCTTCTGAGCTCTAATTTTCTGTTCTGAGGTCCCTCCTCTCTGACCTTCTAAGCTCAATGTTCTACAGAGACTTCTAGCCTTAACACTTTATTCTATGCCCTGAGGTCTCTCTCAGCTCAGACATTGTATGCATAGAAATGATGTGGAATTGCCATGTTCCTACTGCAGGTTCCCATCCCATAGGCCAAACAACTCACCCCTCCAGACGGCACCTCTGGGGATGAGCTAGCCATCCCTAGCCAGCAGAAGAAGAGCGTGTTGCACTGCTCCCACACCACGGGGTCTCGGAGCTTCTTCACCCCTCCTTCCTCACTCTGCAGACGAGATGACCCGGTCCTCCTCGTCCTTGGCCTCCCTCTTTGGCCTCCTCCACTTTTGCCTGTTCATCCTCCTCCAGCTGCCCTGGGCCACACTGGCGCCCTGCCGGACTGCCACCCGGGCTGAATGCCGCCGCCATAAGGCGTTTGTGCCAGGCTGGGAGCTGGCTGGGGAGGGTATGGATGTCACCACCCTCCGCCGAACGGGCTACTTCCCCGTGGATACCCACAGATTTGAGCGTGCCGACGGCACATGCACCCTGTGCAACAACGATATGCAGGAAGGAGAGCTCCAGCGCCTTCCCTTGGCCATTACAGACTGGCACAGCCAGAGCGCTACTTGCCAGCGCGACGTAGCCAAGACCGAGGCCTCCTCTGTTGTGCAAGTGGCCGCCGAGGCCGCCAAGACGATCCAGAATGACTGGAAGGTGGGCCTGGAAGTCCAGCCCAAGCCCAGCATCAAGGGCCAAATGGCTATGGCTGCCTCCCACTCCAACGCAGCACAGTTCGCAGCTGGAAAGACCCACGAGGACCAGTACAGTTTCACCATCGACTCGGTGCAGTGTCGTTACTACAGGTAGGGCGAGGGCAGAGGGGATGGGCTGCTCGGGGGACAAGCCACAGGATAGAAGGAACAAAGACGACTTAGCACAGAGGAAGGAGCGTCAGCAGAATGAGAGTTAGCAGCTGCCACTTACACAGAGAGACCTTGGATGTTTGCAGAGAAGAAGGAAAGAAGGAAGGAAGGAAGGAAGGAAGGAAGGAAGGAAGG